ATTGGATTGAGCAAAGCTTAAATGACTGTCATTATTTTTTTTTTTAAGTTTCTAAACATTTCCTTTCAATTTCTGAACATGTCTCACCACAGACAGCTTGCAGTAACCGTTCAGAGAGTGGCAGCCGTCTGATTCAGGAGTGTGCGTACCATCATACCATCCAATCAATATATTACTTTATTTATTTATTTTTTGAGACAGTCTAGCTCTGTCGCCCAGGCTGGAGTGCAGTGGTGCGATCTCAGCTCACTGCAGCCTCCACCTCCTGGGTGTAAGCAATTCTCCTGCCTCAGCCATCCAAGTAGCTGGGATTTCAGGTGCCTGCCCCCATGCCCAGCTAATTTTTGTATTTTTAGTAGAGACGGGGTTTCACCATGTTGGCCAGGCTGGTCTCGAGATCCTGACCACAAGTCAGGAGCCTCGGCTTCCCAAAGTGCTGGGATAACAGGTGTGAGCTGCTGCACCTGTCCATCCAGTATTTCTCTAAGGAAAATATTGGAAGTACTTATTTCCTTTTCCTTGATGGCCTGGTGACTTGACACAGATGGGCTTCATTCTCTATGATGAGGAAGCTGTTCTATTATCTGAAAACTTGCCTTCCAAGAGAAGGTTAAAGTGTATATTTCAAAATATGAACTTCTGACTGCCACGTTTGGCTGACTCTTGGGTGTTGTGGTATTTAAAGTGTCCTAGATCAGCCACGATACAACAAAACCGAATCACTGTGTCTCCACCTGAGGCATGTGCTGCAGAAAGTGCCAGTTCTTGTGATATGGGAGCCATGACCACCTCTGTTCTGGGGACCTGGGACCCCAGGGGTGGATCTGACTATGTTACCAAGAGCTAGATGAGGCTGGACGAGGTGGTTCACACCTGTAATCCCAGCACTTTGGAAGGCCGAGACGGGCAGATCACAAGGTCAGGAGTTCGAGACCTGCCTGGGCAACATGGTGAAACCCTGTCTCTACTAAAAACCCACAGATTAGCGGGGCATGGTGGCATGTACCTGTAGTCCCAGCTACTCGGGAGGCTGAGGCAGGAGAATCGCTTGAACCCGGGAGGCGGAGGTTGCAGTGAGCCGAGATCGCACCACCGCACTCCAGCCTGAGCGACAGGGTGTGAGTCCATCTCAAACAACAACAAAGGAGTAGGTGAGAAGACGTGGCGTGCTCCTGCAGTGCAGCCCGCCGTGATCATACAGAGACCAGAACGCCCAGCATGGCACGTCGTGGCCCATCACCCTCGTCTCTGCTCCATGTAGCCATAAGACCAAACCTGCATCTGTGTGTGCACACGGTCTGGTGTCTCCTAAGCTGCTTCCAGAGACACACCTCGTGGAAATGTGCAAGGCTCAGCAAAAAAAAGGCTAATATCTAATGATTCGGTTTTTTCCCCAGTTTTTTTTTTTTTTTTTTTTTTTGAGGTGGTGTCTGGCACTGTCGCCAGGCTGGAGTGCAGTGGTGTGACCTTGGCTCATCGCAACCTCTGCCTCCCAGGTTCGAGCGATTCCCGGGCCTCCGTCTCCCAAGTAGCTGGGATTACAGGCATGCGCCACCATACCTGGCTGATTTTTATATTTTTAGTAGAGGCAGCGTTTTGCCATGTTGGCCAGGCTGGTCTCAAACTCCTGACCTCAGGTGATCCGCCCGCCTCAGCCTCCCAAAGTCCTGGGATGACAGGCGTGAGCCACCGCGCCCGGCCTGCTTTTTTATTTCTTACTGGCACGAGAACTTAGAGTGATACAAATCTTCTGAATATCTGGGCTGCATTCTGCAGACGGTGACACCTTCTGTTTCCATGGATATTATTCATAAAACATTTTTGTCACCTGCTATGAATTGTCACCCTGCCCACATGCTTTAAAGGGACAGTTTTTCAAATCAGCATGAGTTTGGGCAGTGGGTAATTGCATACTTAATAAAATTAAACATTAGAAAGGGGCTCCTTCTGCTTTCCTGTCAACTGAGGCAGCAGGGTGATAGACGCAGGGGTGAGGGATGCACCCTGTATTATAGGCCAGGGTTCTCTGGAGGGATAGAACTAACAGGATCAATAGCTATATATAAAGGGGGGTTTATTCAGCATTAACTCACAGGATCACAAGGTCCTACGATACGTTGCCTGCAAGCTGAGGAGCACAGAAGCCAGCCCGAGGCCTAAAGCTGAAGAACTTGGAGTCCAATTTTTGAGGGCATGAAGCCTCCAGCACGGGAGAAAGCTGTAAGCTGGGAGGCTAAGCCAGTCTAACCTTGCCACATTCTTTTGCCTGCTTTTTATTCTAGCCGTGCTGGCAGCTGATAAGATGGTGTCCATCCCGACGAAGGGTGGGGTCTGCCTTTCCCAGCCCACTGACTCAAATGTTCAGCTTCTTTGTCAGCACCCCCACAGGCACACCCAGGATCCATACGTTGCGTCCTTCAGTCTAATCAGGTTGACGCTCGGTGGTAACCGTCACACCTGGCGTCTGTTTCTCTGATTGTAAGGACACCAGTCCTACTGGATGAGGGCCTCACCCTTATGAGCTCCTACAGGCCCTGTCTGCAAATAAAGTCATCATGGAAGCTTCAGGGTTCTGATGATGAATGACGGAGGGCGTGGTTCAGTCTGTAACGATGTCCTGTATCTATTGCAAAGAAAAAACGAAGGCGCTCTTCCATTCCTCCACACCAGGAGGTTTGCCAGACTTTCAGACAAAAGGGTTTTTTAGGGGGGTACAGTTCGTTCCGTAACAATGCTCTCTCGCTCTCGCAAAGAAGAAAGGAAGGGGTCATTCAGTTCCTCCAAAGCAGGAGATTTGCCAGAACTCCAAACAAAAGGAATTTTTTTTCCATCTTGATCCCTATTTATCAACACGTGCCTCCTTATCTTTCCAGCTGACTTCATCTCTTGGGTAGCATTAATTTCAGAAATCTGTATTTCTGACTTGCCCTCAGGAAACCCCTTTAGATGTTAGAAATTCTTCTGTGGATGAAGTTATCTTTTTTTTTTTTCTCTGAGACATAATCTTGCCTCGTTGCTCAGGCTGGAGTGCAGCGGCGCAATCTCGGCGCACTGCAACCTCCACCTCCCGGGTTCAGACAATTCTCCTGCCTCAGCCTCCTGAGTCGCTGGGATTACAGGCATACACCACCATGCCCGGCCAATACAGGCACCCACCACCATGCCCGGCCAATTTTTGTATTTTTAGTAGAGACAGGGGTTTCGCCACGTTGGCCAGGCTGGTCTCGAACTCCCGACCTCAGATGATCCGCCCGCCTCAGCCTCCCAAAGTGCTGGGATGACAGGGGCCCGCCACCACACCTGGCCAGATGAGGTTACCTTCATGAGACTCAGGGTTTGCCGTCTGTCACTGAGTTGCAAATAAAAGAAAAGCTGGGTGAGTTATTTGCGGCGTCAAGAGCAACGCTTAGAATTGTAGAATCGCTTTCTCCATCGGAGGCTCTGGTGTGTGGGCTACAGGCTGTGTGGGTGTCATTCGCCACGCTAGGTGCCGAAAGGGGGCATCAGACGTAGCAGCTGCATGAGTCTCCACTCTTCATGATACCGTCTCACTGTCAGAGTCACAGTGACAGAGGCATTTGTTGCCAAGGATTTACACTCCAGTAGGGTTAAGATTTTTCTTCTGTATGCGTTCCTTAGGGTTACTGTAAAAAGCACATCTTCTCTTCTCTCAATAAGTTTTAAGTGACATTTAAAAATATTCAAGCCTGTGACTTGACCTAATTGTTTAGCATTTGACTCGTTCTATTAAAATGGAGCGTCTTGTCAATTTCAAGTCCTTTATACTTGCAATTGTTAAGAGTTCAATGGTAGTTGGTTTTGTCGCAGACAATGAGTTAAGGAATCCTTCCACGTTTTTCCCGACTTTAAAATTAAAGATTCTCAGGGTGCTGTGTAGAGCAGTGAAAATAAGACCTCGTGTGTGTGTGTGTGTGTGCACGCGCGCGTGTGCGTGTGCGGGTGTGTGTGCACGTGTGTGTGCGCGCGCACCTGGAGGAGAACGGGTGTTCCACTTGGGTGAGAGGATTGGCTGTGAGCTTCAGACCAGGAAATGTGTCATCTAGCCAAGCACCTGGCTGAGTGTGCCGGAGTGAGGACCTTGAACAGAACCTTCCTTTTCTGTTATTATTTGCTACAGAGCTAAAATGGCCAAATATATCCTTTGAAAACTGGTTTTTTTTTTTTTAAATAAATTACCAGATCCCTCCTTCAACTGTACACATTTTTAAATAAAATCATATTGAACTTAAAAAAAACACCCCAAAACTGAGGAACTTGCACAACAGAAATCTATCCTCTCCCAGGGTGTCTCGGGGCTGAGCTCTGTCGGGACACTCTAGGGCACGATCCTTTTGGCCTTTCCCAGCTCCTGGGGGCTCCAGACATCCCAGGGCTTGTGGCTGCATCACTCCAGTCTCTGCCTCTGTCTTATCATTGTTTTCTCTCATCTGTCTCAAGCATCCTTCTGTCTCCTTCTTCTAAAAACCCCAGGTTGGGCAGGGTGGCTCACGCCTGACATCCCAGCACTTCAGGAGGCCCAGGTGGGCGGATCACCTGAGGTCAAGAGTTCGAGACCAGCCTGGCCAACATTGTGAAACACTGTCTCTACTGAAAAAAAAAGAAAAAAAAATCAGTGAGCTGAGATCCGGCCACTGCACTCCAGCCTGGGCAACAGAGCGAGACTCCATCTCAAAAAAAAAAAAAAAAAAAAAATACAAAAATATAAAAATTAGCCAGATGTGGTAGCATGTGCCTGTAATCCCAGCTACCCGGGAGACTGAGGCAGGAGAATCGCTGGAACCCGGGAGGCAGAGGCTGCAGTGAGCTGAGATCACGCCACTGCACTCCAGTCTGGCGACAGAGCGAGACTCTGTCTCAAAAAGAAAAGAAAAAAAAAGTGTGACTTCCCAGGGGAAATTGAAATGGACCTGTTTAGAAATTTTCTTAATCTCTGAAATAGGTTGGAAGGTAACCAGGTGTTGTTTGTTGTCCTTTTCCAGTGGAATTTTTATACTGTGACCTGGCTTCCATGATGTCCATCCGGGAGTTTGTCCAGAAGTTCAAGATGAAGAAGATTCCTCTCCATGTTCTGATCAACAATGGTGAGTCCTGGTGAACTTGCTGCAAGCCAGGGGTTCATTGGAAGGACGGGAGCTCTAGCTTTCATGTGAGAGAAGTGTCTGAGCAAAACAGGATATCCATGGAAATTACTGCACAGACCTGCCATTTGTAGTCACTGCTTCATTTCACAGATGGCTTTGGAGGACCATCGTTCTCGTTAGTATGTTACTTTTAGATAATGGTGACTGGATACCATGTTCTATGGAGCTGACACGTTCACTTGTCCACTTTGACTAAAGTGTATTACGCACACGCTAAGGGTTGGTGTTTTCCCAAGTGTTATCTTGCAAAATCATCACCACACTCCCCGAGACTCATGATTTGGGCTCTAGAAGCTCGTTATCGTTTATCTCTTGATTTTACTCCCTGTTCAACATCCTTACCCAGACAGGTGGAGTCAATATCTCCCCTTCCCCGTCTTCAGTCTGCCCATCTGCCAATCTTCAACACAAACCACCCTTGATCTTGAGCCCTTCTTTGAGCCACACTGAGCTTTTGATGTCATTGCAAACCTTGAGCCCTTCTTTGAGCCACACTGAGCTCTTAACGTCATTGCAACACTTACTGTTGACCTTGAGCCCTTCTTTGAGCCACGCTGAGCTCTTAACGTCATTGCAACACTTAATATTTCTCCTCGCAGTACTGATGCCCGTTACTCTCATCCCCTGCTACAGTCCATTTTATTTTTTATAAAAGTTAACCTGAACCCTCCACACTGAGGAGGTACAGTTATTGACATCTCCAAACTAAGTAAATACATAGAACTGAAGTTCTCAGAAATACACCAAAAAACATGTGTGTTAGTAGAATTTAACACATCGCTTTCACAGATGGAGACCAGATGGAAATTTAGAGAGGAAATAAATAGTGCCATGAATACAGTGGATAGGACAGACATAAGTCAAACAGTGAGCCCGTCGAGACAGCACCTTCCTTTCAAATCTATGAAATATTTATCAAGTTATTGATACTTTAGATGGCAGACAAAAAAATCACCAAAAGGGTCTTGGGGTTACCCAGTGTAATTACTCAATTTCCCACCTAGACCATTAAAGATTCTTAATTCTGCAAAACCGCTTTTGCTCTCTGAGGTGCTGTTGTCATTAATTCTGGACATTAGGATATGGACGTGTCTGCAAGGAGGGAGAAAACATTATTCTCTGTGCTAAAGTCATAACACCTGTCCGTTTCCAGCTGCCAAGATGTGGTAGCTTCCATCTAATTTTTTTTTTCCTCTTTGTCTTGATGTGTTTTGTGTTTTTCTGTAACATTAATGGGATCGGAGGATAGGAAAGTGGATGAGATATCCACGCTTCCCCTCAACCCACTTGTTTAATTGGAAATTATTATGCTACAGTTTAAAGGAGAAGCATGGGATATAAAACTATACATAGAGTGTGACGCCAGTTTATGGATAAAAATACGTACAGACAGCGATGATGTGTGAGTGCATGTGTATTTGTATATGTATTTGATGTATGATGTCTGTGTATTTATGCGCCATCGTACAGACAGAGCTGTGATGTGTGAGTGCATGTGTATTTGTATATGTATTTGATGTATGATGTCTGTGTATTTATGCATAAAAATACGTACAGACATAGCGATGATGTGTGAGTGCATGTGTGTTTGTATATGTATTTGATGTATGATGTCTGTGTATTTATGCATAAAAATACGTACAGACATAAGCGTTGATGTGAGTGCATGTGTGTGTATTTGTATATATGTATTTGATGTATGATGTCTGTGTATTTATGCATAAAAATGCATTTGAAGACATAAGCGTTGATGTGTAGTGCATGTGTATTTATATGTATTTGATGTATGATGTCTGTGTGTTTATGCATAAAAATACGTACAGACACTTAAGCGTTGATGTGTGAGTGCATGTGTATTTGTATATATATGTATTTGATGTATGATGTCTGTGTATTTACTATGCATAAAAATACGTACAGTTATAGCGTTATTCATGTGAGTGCATGTGTATTTGTATATGTATTTGATGTATGATGTCTGTGTATTTATGCATAAAAATACGTACAGACATAGCGTTGATGTGTGAGTGCATGTGTATTTGTATATGTATTTGATGTATGATGTCTGTGTATTTATGCATAAAAATATGTGCAGACATAGCTGTGATGTGTGAGTGCATGTGTATTTGTATATGTATTTTGATGTATGATGTCTGTGCTGTTTATGCATAAAAATATGTGCAGACATAGCTGTGATGTGCATGTGTATTTGTATATGTATTTGATGTATGATGTCTGTGTATTTATGCATAAAAATACGTACAGACATAGCGTTGATGTGTGAGTGCATGTGTATTTGTATATGTATTTGATGTATGATGTCTGTGTATTTATGCATAAAAATACGTACAGACATAGCGTTGATGTGTGAGTGCATGTGTATTTGTATATGTATTTGATGTATGATGTCTGTGTATTTATGCATAAAAATATGTGCAAGACATAGCTGTGATGTGAGTGCATGTGTATTTGTATATATGTTGATGTATGATGTCTGTGTATTTATGCATAAAAATATGTGCAGACATAGCTGTGATGTGTGAGTGCATGTGTATTTGTATATGTATTGATATATGAGTACCTGTGTATTTATTGCATAAAAATACATTGGAGACATAGCTGTGATGTGGTGCATGTGTGTTTGTATATGTATTTGATATGTAACTGATGTCTGTGTATTTATGCATAAAATACGTGCAGACATAGCGATGATGTGTGAGTGCATGTATTTGTATATGTATTTGATGTATGATCTTATATTTATGCATAAAATACGTACAGACAGCGATGATAATGTGAAAGTATATGTATTTGTATATGTATTTGATGTATGATGTCTATGTATTGTGCATAAAAATACGTAGGAGACATAACTGTGATGTAGCCCGAGTGCATGTGTGTTTTATATGTTGATGTATGATGTCTGTGTATTTATGCATAAAAATACGTACAGACATAGCTGTGATGTGTGAGTGCCGCTCAAATAGCTAGAGACACCACCATTTCCATGCTGCTTACCTTGGTAAAAATATCATACTATGTTTTTAGTGAAACATTGTTGGAAGAGTCAGACCAGACATAGCTGTGATGTGTGAGTGCCGCTCAAATAGCTAGAGACACCACCATTTCCATGTACTTAGCCTGGTAAGAAATACCATACTATCAATGCTAGTGGCTGTTGTTGGAAGGTCCGGAATGATTTTAACTTTCTGTGTCTTCTCGTTGGAGGTTAATAACACTTTTCAGATTTGCCATCCCGGTGGCATCTTAAGTTTCTATGCAGGAGTCAATGATTTCCCAGTCAGCACCCATTTGGAATCTTCTGTCTCAGCACTGGGTGTGGACTTCCTTTGCTGAAGCCCCATCCGTATTTTAAGGGATTAGAATTGTAGCATTATAAGTCAGCAGATGTGGAGACCACTTAGAGGGACCGTGGAGATCCTGTGCAACCCGACGTCTCGTTTCTTCCTTGCATGTACCATTCTTACTCATTAGTAATGGGAGCGGTTTATCACAGAGCAGTTGGAAACGGACATGCATGCCTGACATGGTGCCCTGTGCAGAGCCACAGAAAAACAGAAGCGTCTATCCTCTTAGGGACTTTCTGCAGCTACTTCCATCCATTTGCCATGGCCTTGCATCCACCAGTAAGCAGAAAAAACCAGGAATCTCAGGCCGGGCGCAGCGGCTCACACCTGTCATCCCAGCACTTCAGGAGGCCGAGGCAGATGGATCACAAGGTCAGGAGTTCAAGACCAGCTTGGACAACATAGTGAAACCCCGTCTCTACTAAAAATATAAAAATTAGCCGGGTGTGCTGGCGGGTGCTTGTAGTCCCAGCTACTCAGGAGGCTGAGGCAGGAGAATCGCTTGAACCCGGGAGGTGGAGGCTGCAGTGAGCCGAGATCATGCCATTGCACTCCAGCCTGGGCAACAGAGCAAGACTCCATCTCAAAAAAAAAAAAAAAATTAGGAATCTCAGATATGATATGTTTCTCCAGCGGAATCTTACTCTTTTCTGGGGGGAACAGAATTTTACTGAGCAATGAGTATATGAACCACATCTGTGACAGTGGATACAGGCTAACACCAGCTGACAGAGGCTCACCAGCGTATTCTCCATCACTCCACCACCATGTTTACCTTTTGAAATGGCTGTTGCATTCCTAGGATGCTCCTCTGTTCCTTTTCTCAACAGATTTTAAACAAGGCACACAGGGCTCTCAGAAACAAAAATATTCTGGAAACTGGGACAGGGTAGGATTTGAATCAAAAGGGTCTTGTTGTTGGATTGGCTTTGTACCCTATCTCTTCTGTAGAGAATCTCATGCACATATAGGGTTTACTTCTTCCTAGACTTATCTAGATCTTTCTTCCTCCCAAGACTTTTTACCTTCGCTCAATGCTTCAGGGGCACCTCAAGTCAGGAAGTCCAGTGTGGAGTTCCTGAGCCCGTGGCTGACACCGGTTCTACAGGAGAATATTTCCTTCCCCAGTTTTTAGAAGACTGTCAGCATTTCTTCACCCATGGCCTCCCACCTGACCTTAAGGCCAACAATGATAGTGGCTCATGCCTGTAACCTCAGCACTTTGGGAGGCCGGGGCAGTTGGATCATGTGAGGTCAGGAGTTTGAGACCAACCTGGACAGCATAGTGAAACCCCGTCTCTACTAAAATTACAAAATTAGCCAGGCGTGGTGACGCACGCCTGTAATCTCAGCTACTCGGGAGGCTAAGGCAGGGGAATCGCTTGAACCTGGGAGGCGGAGGTTGCAGTGAGCTGAGATCGTGCCACTGCACTCCAGCCTGGGCGACAAGAGCGAAAGTCCATCTCAAAACAACAACAACAACAACAAAGCCAGCAGTGAGACACCTTTGAATCTCTCTTTCTTGTTCTCTCTCTCTCCCTGTCTTCCCTTCTCTCTCTTTCTCTCTCTCATCTTGCCTTCTCTTTTTTTCATCTCCTTCACTTACTCTTGTTCTTCTGCCTGCCTTATAGAAGAAGTGTTGTGATGATTTGGGGCCCGTCAGGATCATCTCAGATCATCGCCTCATCTCAGGATCTTCCACTGAATCACATCTGCAAAGGCCTTTTTGCCGTGACAGTCACATTTTCATGTGGTCCAGAGATGAGGACATGGACATTTTTTCATGTTTTCAGTTATTACTCTACCAAATTGGGAATAGGTTGTGGGCGTCTTTGGGGCCATTATCCTGTCTACCACATGAGATTAGGATGTGGACATCTTTGGGGCCATTATTCTGTCTCCCACATGGGGATTAGCATATGAACATCTGGGGCCATTACTCTGTCTCCCACATGGGATTTAGGATGTGCACATCTTTGGGGCCATTATTTTGTCTACCACATGGGGATTAGGACGTGGACATCTTTGGGGTCGTTATTTTGTCTACCACATGGGGATTAGGATGTGGACGTCTTTGGGGCCATTATTTTGTCTCCCACATGAGGATTAGGATGTGGACATCTTTGG